TGAGAGCATCAAGATCATAATGTCACAGCTGCAAGGATTCCGACGATATCTGCTCTTCAAAGGAACCTTGGTACAAGCCCGAGCAAGTTGGACGAGGTCAGCCGATGCCATACAAGGAGTTGTTGTCGTAAACGTGATTTTTCTAAAACCTTCGATCGCCTAGAACTCCGAATTATCCTTCACATAATTTGAAGCTATGAAATCGGACCCAGCGTTAGATTGGATAAATAACATTCCCCTACGACCTCCGCTGAATGTGAGTGCCCACAGATCCATCTCTGACCCAAATGAAGTCCAGTATTAAGAGCCCCATTGATCAGTACTAGGAACACATTGGTAACTAGTATTTAACAAAAACCTTGCAACGGTGTGGAAATTAGACTACATTCTATTTGCAAACGACGTCAAGATTTGGTAAGACATCCAAACAGTTAAACACCATTTGGCACTACAAATAAATCTTGTCAGGGCTTACACATGTTCTTCCGAAAACCTGGTGAAATGTACTTTCTTAACATACGTCCTTAGTGTACTTCCGATTCGGCACTGAAAGGACAGCCTGTGCAACATGCTTCATCAGGAAGGGACCTAGGGTAATCATGCAGGACGACCTTAGCCCGTTGATCCAGACGAAAACGGCATAGAGAAGAGCCTGTCAGCACTTTGGGATCCCACGAAGAGTGTTCGGGAATTAACAGAGATTAATATTTCCACAAATAGTGAATGACTACATGGGTAACACGTGAAATTCGCAGTCCAGGCCTGGTGATTTCGGCACAAACACGATGCTACTGCGCCCTGTACTCCACAACGTAAACCAGAGAACGCCGTTAGAAGACTGTTTCACCTCTCCTACCAAGCTTAACTACAAGACCTAGATTTGCACAGTAGCGAATATCTGCACAACCGAGAAGACATTAGTATATTGAATACTGTCTATTCTCAAACACGTCTGTCGTGATCTGCTGCGTCAGTGACAATACTAACATGAGTGGGTTAGCAGCTTTATTGAACCGCAAACCAAAGTTGAGTCGGTTGCGGACCAAACCTATGCTACCTTTAGGTATCAAGAAAATCGAATGCTCTTCCTTCTTCTGTTAATTTGGCGCCCCCAGCAATCCACTTTAAGAAACGATTGGACCACACTCTATCCTTTTTACATAAGTTATATACTGTCTTTCCAGCAAAATAACCATTCACAAACAGTGTGCTCACAAGCCATCTTCGTTATTTAGCGGTTAGCAGAACTGCATGTACTCACGTGAATAACGGTGAATCAACATAAACCAGAAGTCCTTCCTATTTCCTGGAGCAATAAACAAGCATTTTATACTTGTCACTCCAGTCATCTTACGGGACCTCTCAACCAGTGCGTTTTGTCTGTTAAAAACCATTCTTCATTGTGCTATTACAGCCATATTGTTTTCTTTCTCTTCACTGAAGTAGACTGTGTGGCAGTCATGACATGCTTCGTTAGTGTACTGAAACCCATATTCCGTGGTGCATTGGATCGTGTGCGAATGCTCGACGTAGGTAATTGTTCCGCTCATGGCAAATCTGTCAAATATGCTAGCTCCGACTAATGCTTGGTCGCGCTATATGGTCCATCTCAACTTAAAACTTCATAGCACTAAACGAATTATCATGGCGCTTCCTACATTCTTAGAAATTCCAAACCTCAGTCTTGATTGTTACATAAATTAACGTACACACTAGTGTCTTGTGGATAATCCACTCTGATCCATCCCATTATACAATAAATCTTGACTCCGTAACACGATAGTAAGAATCTTCAAGTGCCCTTTTGATTACTCTTGCACAAGACTCAGCAGGCTTCTTTAGATTCCGTCGAATAATTGGTTCAATTAATCATAAAATTTCAAATTTCAAAAAATTTGCGCTACAATGAACGAAACATTGAAGGTAACTCTTAATAGGTTTTTTTACTCATCCATGAATATACAAAATACGTTAGCATATAAACACATTTAAACTAATGGTTTGGAAAGCTAGCATAGGTCGCACTATGTTTTGGTGAATTCAACATAACACTACTTTTAAGCACACACACATGAAGCGATGTAAAGAATAGGTACATTTTGCAAAGACTTTAATTGTTATAAGCAGTTTAGAATTGGTTTGATGTGTGTTACATGCGCATTTGTATTCCCTTTACGACTCGGATAAGTCGACGCACGCTAACAACGTGCACAATATAGTGTGGTAACTATTTGAGATTAGTAGTTAAAATCAATTGACTAGCGCATTTGTTGACTTCAATTATACACCAAAATTTGCAGGTCATGAAAATCGATCGCAACCCTAGCGAAGTTTTTCACTATGCAAAGTGGTCCAACCATGCTACGGTTCACAGTAGCAGCAGTTCAGTGATAAAAAGCTATTCCATAGTCGTTTTCCTCCTCAACCGTCTGAGTTGCTGTTCGACAACTACTAGCATTGCAGCCTCGTGGTATATTTATATTTGCTGATACTGAGTAAACAACATCAACACGCATCCGTTAGATGAAAAGGTTAAAGACAAGATGCAGATGAAAGTCCGTTAGCGTGACTTTGTCAATGAATTCCACTACGTTTATCATCGCATCATTCTACTTGAACTCCAAGGCAAGGGAACCATGGATACTGTCCCTAGGCTGAAAGGTATAACGTGCGTTAACCGCAAATATAGGTGAAACAATTGGATTCTCCTTACAGTCCTGGCCAAGTAAAGCATGACGTTATATACGGGTATTGCTACTACCGCGTAAAGTCCTCGGATTTATGAACAAATGATGGAGTGTGCCTTGATTTTGCTGATATTTTTGTAAATACGGAACGGCTGACCTCTAATATGTACATCAATAGCTCCTGCAATTTCTTAGGAAGTTAGGATGATTATAATGTTCAAACTATAATGTCTTGTACATTGTTTCTCTAAAAAGAGGTCCTACATACTTGAAACTCACGATTTGCTCGCGATGTTTTATGTTCGTAACATCATTGCTATAGTTTGATGTGCTATATCGGGATCAAAGGTACCTGATGTGCTAGAAGGTAGGAATTAACAACTCGATTGCAAATCAGGTGCTTTGTCCTTCTATCCATGACCACCTATTTTGTGTCTATATTCGGCTTGATTTAAAGGCTGGTGGCTTATGCATTTCTAGGGTAGAAGACACAAAATCACAGGATAATTGAGGCAGTACAGTATAAGTAGACAAAGTGTGCAAAACGTTCGCTTTACTTATAAAAGCAACTTGGCTTGAGAACTTAACGATATTAATGCAAGCACCTGCACATATGTGACGCGTGTACATTGATACAATTTATTCTGAGAATCCGTCACCTCCTTTTACTTCCGCCTTTTGTAAATAAACAACGAAATTTGTTGTCAGGCTACCAGACATAGCTGGTCACGTAATTACGCCATTTTAAAATTCAGCTTACCGTTTTCTAACTTGGTGTCCATTAACCATAGTATATTACGCCAATTTTTATTATTTCTGTCCCACAGTATCTCAGAATACGCATTGCGGCTGTGCTAGTTTATGTACATTATAAACATCCGTTGACGTGTATTTCATGTATGTGGATGACATATGATGAATAAGTTTACACCCATTAACACTCATATAATTTTCATAACAGGCTTCAGTATGACCGCCATGGGGATTTTGCCAGAAATCTCTCTATTTGTTCACCTTTATTTCTCTCCTAATTCACCGATCGCATTCCTATCATTCCAGGGAGCTGGCCAAGTAACTGATCTCTAACTAGTATTCGTAAGTAATCCAATTAATTTTGGCCGCAAATTACTTGCAAATATTTTAACATACATAAGATGTTGGAAAAACATATGCTATTGTGTATAAAATAAAATATTTCAGCAAATCATATTTTGATACGAATTCCAACATCAGCCAGAAACTTACTGGAATATTAGTTAATAAATGTGATGATTTATACCTTGAAACTTTCTAAGGTGACCAAGCATTTTGTATTTTATATACAGATCAGTAATTGTGAAAATAGTGAAATTCGTTTCACTAACTTTAGGTCTGTGACCAATTTCTAGATCTTTCTAACCCCATGATAACATATGATATGGGTAGTGCACTGGTTAAATGTTAGTAAGATCAAAGGAAACTAGGCGCACAACACCTTGAAAGTAAGGCAAATTTAAATATACTTCGTAGAATGTCCTAACCTTGTAAAAAATCTGCATTTAAACTTGGTTAAAGGACGGATGAACTGCCTAAAAAATAAACAATATCATAAGAAAGACATTGCTATTTGCATATTTTGTCGGAATTCTTTATATTTAAGTATTGAAACTCAGAAGGTAGAGATTCTATTTCGAACCGATAATCATATATAAAAGTTGGAACTGGGATAGCCGCTGTAGTTGCGTTAATGCATTCTGCAATACAAGTAGGAGACACATATGGAAATTTTGACCTTAAATATGATATTCACTCACAAGTAATGGACAGAGACACATTAGTTGACCGTTACAACTCATTATCATTTCATATTCACTTTCACTGTCCCTATTCTAAATACCAAGTAAAACTAACCCATTGGCAAGTATGAATGGGTTGTGGAGCCATATCTAATAATAAAATTGCGCTAGAGTAATTGATATAAACATTGGATTTCTGCTCGTCTACGTTTACGTGAAACTACGCATACTATCAACATCAAGTGTAACCAAGGCCATTTGAACAGAATGAATCTGATCTATTTAATAGACCGGTAATTATATTGTCCTGTGCCAAGAAACAGGTTGAAAAATACTTGTGTTAAAAACCGAATATTAAACACCCAATAATATGCCATTGGTGCATACCTGGTTCATAGGAAAGACTCATGCCAATACCTTGCGATGTCCTGTCACTGATGAACAACAGCGACACGTTGGTTGAAGGGGAGCTGATGGTCCGCTGTCCAGAAGTAACCGCAAACCGGGGTGCCAAGCAGTCTGCACCTCCAAACATTACCATGTAGTCATAGAGGACACTGTTAGAATCCTCCAACTGTAAGAATTAAAGAGTAGATTTTAGCAACGTACAGATAACTAATATATTACTTTGACATTTTAGCGCATAACAGTTATAGTCTGTACAATTTAAATTTCTAATGCCTGTAATGTTAATGTTTCAGGTCTTTTCAGATTCCATAGCAAATTTGTGAAACTAGGGTTTCGTTCATTTGCAAATTGTTTGATCCGGTGTAGCCAGGATTTCGCATTTGTGTGTCCACTTTTCCGAAGTTAACAGTATGTGCCCGGATAATTATGCTTCACAAACAAGCGCGCAAAAACGTAAGGACTAGCAGCGAACAGTAGATGATGAATTTTACAGATTATTGAGAATAAAGTTGCAAGTTGCATTTAGTGATCTGTTGGTAGGCCTAGTAAACGATACATACATAATTTTGGTGTCTGCTAACCATGTTTTCTTTTACGGTATAAGTAAGTGGCAGTAAATTATCCACGATTTAACACGGCTGATACTGAACGAACGTGTTAAGTGAAAAGCAGATGAGGAGTGAATGCACCATGCAGTCATTATGTAATATGGCTAGTGCTGGCTGTCAAACGACCAATTAGATTTCTGGGCTCCAGGAACTGCATTGACAACGAACGAGTATTCTTTACCGTATTAAGACAGCTGTACTGTTTCGATGGTTTCAAGGATTGGCCTCTCAGACTGGATTTACTGCTCAAATGTAGCACTTTATCTAAACTGTGCGATATCAAGTATGCAATTTGTAACTAGCTTTTACTTTACCGTAGGCGTCCTAGGATTGGTTTAAAGCCTTGCAGCCGATGAGCAGTTGGAGATTGCACATACACTCAAAGCACTTACAACCTCACCGTTGAGGTTGTGCTATAATATTGAGGCCTTGCATTAGCCTTGGCTTCCAGGATTAAATATTGCATTCAAAATAAGCATGGATATAGGTGATGAGCGTCTGACGAAAAGCAGGGATGTATTCGTGTTCGAACGTTCATCTTTAAACCCCGAAGTGTTAACTGCCAAATTTTCACCACTTTTTCGATTGCATAAAATGAGTCAAGCCATCATTCAACCAGTATAAACAGGCCAAGTTTGATAAAATTGCGCTGCATTACATGTGCACTTTTTCCCAAGGATAAAGTGACTTGGATTGTGCTTTATAGAAATTTGAGTTAGCTTACTCAGATATGATATTTACCTGTTGTAGGAGATGCGAGCGTTTGTACTAACTGAACATGCATCACTAATAATCCATAATCTTAGTTATCATATCTCCCAAAGCATAATATTTGGGGCTCTGTATACTGCGCAAGTTAAAGTTTTCATTTATTCGGATATTTTTAACTGGGCTTAAGGATTCTATTGAGTTTAGTACACAAAGGTTTATTTGTCACGCACAGTAGTATACACTTCGATGATATAGTTGAAATCAGGAATAAGAGTTATACACTTTCGTCAAGTAGAGCTAAACAAACAAATGTAGGAAGTTTTACCTAAAAATGTACTCGGACAGCTGGAACATGCCATCTACTGAATGACAAATTTGGGAGAATCAACAACCGTTTGGGATATGCTAGATAACCACACCAATGCCTTGTAATTTGGAGCACGGATACGACTGGGTCTGTGTGTAATGCACACGTTGATGCGATACTGAATACTGTATTGTGGAGCAATTAAAAATGATTTATGTACTACTCCGTCAAAATATGTTAAATAATGGTACAAAAGGTCACCTGTGAATGTCGGTATCGTTCTTATGTGGCATTTACTAGACCTAACTCTCGGTATTGCAGTACTCATTTATGTAAGATGTACTCTTAAGTGTGTAATCATTCTCTGAAGCGAATAGTGGTTAAACATAAATCCAAACGATGTTTTGAACTGCTTCACAGATGTGACCTCTATCACACGAACGGGCGTACTGTTACAACTATTTACCACTCTCCGTTTGAGGCACATTGATTGTGAAACTGGCTTCACAACTGGCACCACAAGTTGGTATCTGTGAATGCGGGTGCTGGATGGTCCTAGTAAGTGCAGCATTTGCCTCAGAATGAAGCAGTCACGGAGATGTGGAATACGGTAGGTTATAATGTCGACTTGCACCCCACGTTAAGACAAGGTGTAGAGTCCTAGTCTTTCACACATGTCTTCGTACCGCAAGACACGTGAACTCGGGATGGGCCTTGTAGCAACATGTTGGACTCCTAGGATATTTTTTCCCTCGCCTCGGGTAATCGGAAAGTAGTCGGGCAAACCACAACCTAGCACTGGTCAAATGAATAAAGAGAAAAGGCGAGTAACGATCTCTTCAAACATTAGGCCGATTTAAGTTTCCGCGCCCAAAGCATGCGCAGCCCGTTGCGGTAGAGCCAGTTCGTGATATCTGCGGACTTTAAATCGCAGCTCGAAAGCACACCTAGGTCCTTCACGGACAGTGTGGGATATATCAGTTTGGCCTCAAGGGTGTAGGTTCGGACGTCAGCACCCTTCAACACGCTTATAAATACTGACTTAACTCTGTTGACCGGAAGAGGAATATCTGAAGACCATGTGAATAGGCGTATGAGGTCTTGTTAAGTCAGCTATGGTCCTCGAAGATGTTATTTATTTTCCAGATCGTCATGTCGTCGGCAAACAGGCAACACGCCGACTGGAGTAGCTGTGGTAGACCTTGGATGTAAAACTGGAGCGGAGTGGGTCGAGCACAGTGACTTGGGGTAGGCCACTTGTAGACTTATACCAATCATTTAGATGGTCTATGACCTGTATCATCCACTTTCTTCCAAAAAAAGTGGCGGTTTCACTGATGTAGTGAGCTACTGCTGCCGCACTTCCTGAGTTCGTGAAGCAGGACCTCATGACTGAACTTATCAAACTTTCTTTGGCGAGGACGAATAACACGTCGACAGACTTCAGTATGCTTGTTGCTTGCAATCACTCTGCCTCATCACAGGCAACTTTGTAATGCATAAGCGATTATACAAAAAACTTGCCGTTCTGGAGTCACGACATATATGACTGCATATATGACTGCACATATGACTGCAGCAACTGCAGCTATCCAGCTTCACGATTTTCTCAGCAACCTTGGCCAAAATAGTTCTACGGTAAATTTACCTTTAGTAGTCTACTTAGCTGGGGTCGACGTATTACGGAATAGGTTTCACCACCAAACCGTTTACAGTCAATAGGCAATGAACCTTCGGAGAGCGCCCTGTTGCAAATATCAATGTCGGCAAAAGAGATGATGGCCGAAAGTGACTTGCGAAACAGTGGGTGAAGAATTTCAGTTCCCACAGGCTTGCTGCTGTCAAGACTAGGGAGTGATTGACATGTATATTCAAGGCGGCAATCCATAATTACGAGTTTGATAAAAACGGTACACGTCGGAATCGGTACAGGCACCTGGTTATTTACAAATACAGAAGCAAAGCTCACCGCCCATGACAATTCACCAGGGCAGGGGCTGTCCGCCTGGGCCATCCAGCACTGGCACATCACATGCCGGCTTCAGGCTTTGCTGTAAGGAAGCAAAATATATCTTAGGGTCGGCCTTCGTACATTTGGAACCGATTCCTTTTTCCAAGGTTGCAGATTTTCTACTGGCTTTTATACACTCTGTAGACATTGGCGGAGCTAGAAAAGGGGAAAACTTTCTCACAATCTGCGCCGCTTACCAGCCAGATTTCCATACGCCTTAGCAAACAGATAAGCTTTAATCTATCCAACGTTCAAGATGTTTAAAGGAATAAATTGGAACACAATCACAGCCTCTCTTTATAAATGTCTAACGCTTTTACAGATGGCGCTTGTGGCAAACACCAATCCGTTTGGCACGTGACTCGAATTAGACCGTCGAAATCCTTTTTCCAGTAGTTATAAACTGACTACAGCTGACATAAAAACGGCAAAGGTAATCCAAATCAGCTATGAGTTTTGCTTGGTAGCTTTCAGCTAGATCCGAACGTCACGCACTCGTTGTTTGTAGCTCATTAACATCAGATAGAGACTGGACGGGGTTGAGCGTGGTGTAATGCGTGTGGGCTAGCAGGTGTGCTGCGATGCACCAGTTTCAAATACCAAATCCACGAAATTTTCTTCATGCACACCAAGTCCAAAATCAAATGTACGTCTGGCCATCGTATTCGAGGACAGTTACAAACGCCCATAATTAGATAGCGTGGTCAACTCATGTGTGTTCTTAGATGGAGCAGCCCATCCAAACAACAAATCTGAGAGATGATTTGGACTACACGCAAAAATAGCTCACGGCGCCTACGGTGGATAGATCACCACAGTCTATCACAAAGACAATCGCCTCTTCGGTAGGTACTCACAAGTCTCGCAAACAGGGATGACCGGATGCAGTGTAAGGTGCGACATTAGGCACTCGTAAGTCTATCGCTGCTGAGCACCAGTAACCGCTGAGTTCAATTTCCTGGGTGAATACCTCTGAATGCGGACATGTCTCATCGAGTCCCATAATGTCTTTTCCGTATGACGCGAAAGCTGATGGCGTTTTATCATTGCAATGGTTTGTGAAGGCTACTCGCAGGCCGCATCAGGAGCCGCATGGCGTGCTTTAGGTGTGAGCAATCTGTTTATACTTATATGCGGATGCTTAGCAACCACAAGAATGTTGACGAAATGGAGCTATTTCCCCCCACACCAGTATGGCTTTTCAGCTCTAGACTACCAGACTTCAGTCGTTCCCTGTCTACTGAGTCTAGTTCTAGATATACCTCGTTTTTTAACCATTTCAACCTACTTAGGCGGGACAAGTTCATTCTTAGATGGCTTCGCTCACAAAAGTGGTTCTCATGGGCTAATGGTGTTGATCGACTTGCTTTCCAAGACAGGAAATTGGCCTCACTTTTACAGAGTCCTCTCCAGCGTCGAGGCATCTTATAATGTTGCTCTGTTAAAACCGGACATGTTGCTCGTAGCGCACTTTGGGTGATGGATCACTGGAATGCGGTGCGTGAAAATCATGAGGTTATAATCCATCT